AGGGTACAGCATCATGATGTGTGCAATGTCGGTGTGGTTACGACTCCCCCCCCCCCCCCATCCGAGGAAGGGTCTCGGTGCTACCCCCTTCCCGCAACACCTGCTTACCAGTCTCCCACATTTCTCACTTTTTCACCCAAGGATTTTCCGTCGAGAGAGGTGGGGTGCATAGTGTAGTACACATGAAATAGGAAAAACCACGAAAAGTCAACGACTGAGAAAAAATTTTCCCGACACCAAATTTCTCTTGAAGGCACATACGACTCCCCCCCCCCTCTCCCAACTGTAAATACAAGTTCTATGTGTTTCACACAACAATGGTGTACCCTGTGCGCCGCTTTTCGACGACTGGGATTTGGGATGACTTTCTCTTTGCTATCCCATGCGTCGCAATACAGATTTCTCAAAGGTACGGGTCGGTTAAATACCGCTACTCATCGGGCCACCAGCACGTTTCCACGATTGCCGCGGCCCTCACCGGTTCCTCACCGTCCTAGGCTTGATAGCTCGGGCTTTTCAAAGGTAGGGATCGAGGAAACCCTTCACTCACCTGGACTGCGTTACCACCAGCGCGCTTAGACGACTGACGCGATATGTTACCCACTGCTCCGCGTTAGGGTATGCAGAGACTTGTTCGTTGCAAACGTCTGTACGTTTCAAGGTTGCCCTAGTCTGCCATTTTTGAAAGAATTGATTTTGATTTTTTTCTGGTGTAGAACAGATTGCTACCGCACCAAATCCAGCCTGATACGCCCACGTCCGCAGCGAGCAAAACTATTCATTTTTCGAAGACGCTGATCCCAGTCACCGTCCGGTACTCCGGAAGTGGCGCTTTTCAGTGATACGAACCCGAAAGAACCGTTACTCACAGGGCCATGCCCTAGCATCATTCGCATGTGGCACGATATGTTCCTAAGCGATTTTGATGTGTCTGCCCATATCCCTGACTGTTCACTTACTCGTTGGGCGCTAGAGGGACATGTCCGATCACCTCCAGATTTAAACAACTAGTTCGAGAAGACGGGTACCATATCATGGTCTCTGCAGAAGGAGCCGAGCAGGAATTTGGTCGCCTGATTGGCCCAGAAGAAGCAATCGCAAGCATTGCTGATCGATCATTGGGACAAAAAAACCACCCATTATTGCCAGCTGATATCCTGCGCTCTCTATCAAGCTCATTATCTGGGATCCATCAGGCACTCTCGCTTTAGGTTGATGATCGTTTGTCTCTCATCGCCTTCGCGTACATCTGCATTCCCATCCCATACAGCACTCTTCATTACTGATTGCGTCTTGTATTTACTTACATAAGGAAATGCGATATTTTTCCCTTCCTATCTCTCTTCGAAGCAGCTCTTCAAGTGCTCTCATTTTTCCCGTTCACTTTCCCCTCGTCATCTTGTCCTCTTTAATGGACATCATGAGACCGAACTTGTAAGGGTACAAGAGGGATCATTTTTCATTGCACCAAAGCACCTAGAAGTTGCCCACGCGCAAGGAATGTACTGCAACATGATCAACACAGCGTATTGAAGTTCAAAAAATTGGCAGCCTGGCGCCCTAATCAGGGCACTTCCTGCAATAGGGAAAGTTTGAACGATCCTCCCTCGAGAAATTCCCTCCATCATGCGACCCCTTCCTTATATCACTTCCTACCATCTTCATGAACTCCC